CTGTTATAGAATCTTGCTAGAATCTGTAGAGTTTAGAATGGTATGTATGTTATTAATTTTTAATACTATACTCCATAAACATGGGATATAGTTTCAATTTACAACAATGTACCATGGAACAAGGTTTTAATCAACATCAACCACATATAACAGGCAAGTTCTATAGATTATACTGGCTAGTGATGTACTCTCTTCAGTTTGTGTTAGTATACTTTATGTTTTATATAGAGACAAGATTGCCTAGCAATTCTTAAAACACAATTCCATTATAAAGTAAGGTATGACAATATTTGCAATTTTATAGCTATCTTGTCTATTTCTGAAGTAGGTGACAAGGTAAATAAAACTGCATATGGTAGCTTGAATCATAAATGTGCCCCATCGTCTCAGGTATTTGAATACTTGGTACCCAGGTGCTGGCCTTGTTTGGAGGGTGTGACCTTCCTGGAAGAAGTATGTCGCTAGGACAGGCTTGGAAAGCTTAAGGCCTCACACTACTCCCCAGTTTTTTTCTTTCTGTTCCCTGCTTTGGTTCAAGATGTGAGCCTCTAGCTTTCTGCTCCGGCTGCCATGTCTACCTGCTGCTGTGCCTGATAGTAATGATGGACTCTTATACCTCTGAATCACATGCCCAAACAAACCCTCTGTAATTTGCTTCTAGGTGTGGTGTTTTATAGAATATACATATAAATATAAATATAACCATTTAAAAAGAACTAAGATATTACATTTATCACTAAGAAACTTCATCTCAAATTAATTCAATGACATAAAACATAAAAGTAGTAGTATTTAAGAAAGTCTTGGAACTGTACTTTGGCTTTGATTTGAATATGAAGCAAATATGTGGTGTGGGAAAGTTAACTATTAGTAGGCTCTGAAGTCATGAACACTACAGGCTTTAGACTATTGGAGTCACTTTACACAATCTCAAGCACTAGATTCCAAGAGGAACGGTAACTGATCAGTGATACACAAGTAAAACAGCAATACCGTAGTAGTTCAGAAGACTGAAGGGGCTATAGACAGCCATCCATCTGGGAGTGGCAAGAAGAGAGCCTGAGAGAAGCACTTGATAGCAGTAATCTTGTGATAGTTACTAAGCTCACATTTGAAAATTCAGCAGAAAAAAAATCAAAGCACACTGAGATTTGTTGGCTTGGCATATATAAGACTTTTCTTTTTAATTTTTAAAATTTTAATGTGTGTGTGTGTGTGTGTGTGTGTGTGTGTGTGTGTGTGTGTGTGACAGCACAGGTGTAGAGGTCATAGGACAATCTGTGAAAGTAGGTTCTCTCCTTCTACCATGTGGGTCACGGGAATCAAATTTGTGAAGTCATGCTTGGTTGCAGACACCTTTGTCTCCTGAACCATCTTACTGACCCATAAGTAAGAATTTTCTAACTACCTAAATTTTCTAAAACTTTGATGAACTGCCTTACTAGTTCCCAGAGATCAGATGAGCTCAAACAAACAGCTATAAGTCTACCATTAGAAATGCTACTGGGTAGACTGGGTGTGATGTGCACACCTTTAATCCCAGCACTTGGGAGGCAGACGCTGACTGAATTTTGTGAGTTGAGAGCCCCAGCTTGATCAATAAAATGAATGCCAAAACAGCAGGGCTACATAGAAAATTCCTGTCTCAAAGTTATAAAAAAAAAAAAAAATCAAGAAATACTACAGAGCACACTTCTTCACTGTTACTTCCCATCTTATGATCCCTTGTCCTGACTGAAGCAATGCTATGGGAAACACATGATGAAGATGCAGTTATTGCTGAGAAGGCTAAAAGCTTGACTTACCTGTGCAGCTTCTGCTGTGGCTTTCATTCGAAGACACAAAGTCAAATGAGGAAGCGTCTCACTTTAAGGCTCAGGTTGGCCTCCACCTCACAGTCTCTTACCTCAACCTCTAAAGAGCTGTGATTACAGATAGAGGTATTATGTTCAACTTATACTTCAAAGTGACTGAAGTTTCAATGGTACAGAATGGAAGAAACAGAACTCAGGGCCTAATATTTTTAACATTCTGTGATGAATTCTTCCATTTCAACTATATTCTAGGGAAAAAATCATTGAATCAAGGGATTTGTGAAAATAATATTCATGACAGGTTTTAAAAGCTTCCTTTTCTCCAATAATGAGACTTTTAAAATGAATTAAAAGTAGATAATTTAGTCAGCTCTTCAGTTTACCTGTGGCAGCGCAGGCTATATATGTCTGAGGGAGATATGTATCTTTCTCTAGAGAAAATTTAATGCATGAACCAAATGTTATTTCAAAAACAAGTAGTAGCTTGATAAAAGTAAATCTTATAACCTGATAAAATAAGATCCTTTAAATATGTACTTATATAAAACCATTACTTTTAATTAAAACTAAATTTTAAATATTTAGTGTACAACAAAATACATAACCTCTAAAAATATAAATTTATTATATTATATTATTAAAAATAGGATAATGTGAAATTTCTAGGTACTTGAGACTTTCAAATATTTTTTCTCAAAAATCATCTCATGATCCGTATCTATTTTCAACCACAGCAACCACAATAGTGGCTTTATATTAACTCTTTTAAAAGCATGCTTTGAATTATTGAGCTCATTCAACTAAAACCTGCAATACTTTATTATGTCCATGGAACTTTTGTTGTGGAGCTTTATGGCACAGGAGATTGGAGCTCCTGTATCTGCTCATACAGCACCCGACCACTGAGCTGTTTCCTCAACTTCCTTACTTACACCACTAAAATTTTACTGATAAATTAACTAGATTTTATAGAAACATTTAATTTTCTGGGATGAGTTCTGAATCTATTTTACTAAGGCATACCTTAGAAGATATCTATTGACTGTATAAAAGGAGTCCATTTACATTAGTGAGTCTGCCCAATTACTCAATGTAGAATCTCAATATGCTCTTACGTTTTTCTGCTAATAGTGTTTTGGTTTTTTGTTTGGTTGGTTTTGGTTTTTTGAGACAGGGTTTCTCTATGTAGCCCTAGCTGTCATGGAACTCTAGACCAGGGTGACCTCAAACTCACAGAGCTGTGCCTGCCTCTACTTCCTGAGGGCCGAGATTAAAGGTGTGTGCCACCACTGCCTGACTCTACTGACAGTTTTTCTAAAATGCATTTTGTGAGATAATTACATTACAAATGGTAATCAGGGGAACTTTCATAAGATAAAGTACATGTGAGTATTAAGATACATTTTATTTCATGTGCTATTTAGTCATAAATTTTGGTATTAAAATATGATTAGTGCACAAGTAATAATTCTAACAATATTTCAAGTATATCCATATTCTTTACTTTCATAAAAAACATAATTTTTTAAAAAATATTTTCACAGAAGAAAATTGAGGAAATACAGAAATACAAAAATGAAAAGCAATTACCATTACCAGAAGAGGCATTGATGGTTTTATGGGCTCCATTTTAACTGCAGAATTCTAAATTAATTCAGAAGTTTTGTTCCCATGTTATTTCAATTATTTCCTCAAACAGCTTATAAGTTAACAAAACTTTCTGTCAATGTTAAAAAGTATAGAACATAATGAACCTTCAGACTTCACTTGAAAGCTCAAAGCAAATTGCTATTACAGACTTAAATCTGTTATCATTTAAACTATTTTTAAAAAGTTAAAATTAAAGCAAAGGCATCTAGTAACCAAGTTTTATTTTGAACACTTGATAATGGAATTGATGTAATGAAGTTGTTATTTGTTGTTATTAAGACTTGTAACTCTTGGTTTTCAATAATTATACATAAGATACTATCTGCTTTTGAGACAGGGTTTCACTATGTAGCCCAATATGGCCTGGAACTCACTATGTAGATCAGGTAGGCTTTGAACTCACAGAGACCCACCTGCTTCTGCCTTCGAATACTGAAATTAAAGCCACGCATCACCATCACCACATCTGGCTTTAAATATTAGTTTTTAATTTTAAAATATGTGAATTCTGGACAGTTTCCCATATACCCTTTAAATTAAAAAGTGATGTTCTTCACAATCCTATGCATATATATTTTGATCATATTGAACCTTTACTCTCCTGTATCCTCTTCCCACTGAATCCCTTCCTCTTCACTCCCATCTTTGTTTTGTGTGTGATCCACTTCATTTAACTAGGGTTGCTTAAATACGCATGGAGAGAGGTTATTTACTTAAGCAAGAGCAGTTATCATTAACTACCCTGCTGTCCTTCACATTTTAAAAGCTTCATATTTATGCTATAAATATGCTTACTGTAAGGTATGTTTATTGTAAGGTACTTATTGCTAAAGTTTTCAACTATATCTGATTTAATCATCATACCAATTTAATGCTGAAAACGAGTAAGTAATCTTAGGATATTCTAGCACTTAAGTCTTGACTGTATATACTTTGGGAAAATAGCTTTGTTCTTGTGTATGGCAAAGGATATACTCAAAATTAAATTTCTTTAGACTTAAATGAATATTTCTGCCTCCATGTATGTATCTGCACCATGCTCATTCATGCCTGTTGGAACTCCTGGAATCAGAGTATGACTGTTTTTAAGTCACCATAGAACTGCTGGGAATCAAACCCAGATCCTCAGTGAGAACAACAAATGCTCTTAATTGCAGAGCAAATTCTCCATCCCAACACTTCTGTTTTGAGACAGGGTCACACTATGCAGCCCTGCTTCACCTGAAACTCCCTGCATAGACTAAGCTAACTTTAAACTCACAGAAATCCACAAGTATTTGTCTCTCAAGTGCTGAGATTAAAGACACAACACCACATCCATACTCAACATCAGTTATGTATTCTAGAAATGAGCATCAATACTAAAAACAGATTCTTTGTGAATGACATAGACCGAAAGATCATATATTATGACGTCAGATTTGTTTTTTTAAAGTGTAGTTGCTATCTAAACCACACAGACTATAATATTTCTAAAAGTTTATCTTCCTACAAGGAATTTATTAGGAAGAATAAATAATATATCAATGCTTTTACCTTTTAGCCGGTGACTTAGAATTTGCTCCAGAACAGCTGCAAAATTATTAAATTCGGGAGAAGAGTCATCGATTGTTTCAAAGCAAGACCGATCAATCAGGGTCTTCACAGAAAATCTATGAAAAAAAAGATGATTATTTTAGAGAGAGTAAATCCATTCACTTAAGTATGAAGACATGAGAAGGTATTTGGAAAAGAATATTGAAAATTGCATTTATCCAATGTGCTCTGTAAGTGAAAAGTTTTATAGAAAACAGGTTTCCACATGCCAGTTACTGCTGAAGTCTGAATGCTAGTATTCTCCAAGATCCTACACTGCTGATGAGGCCCAGGGCACTAGCATCAACAGCTGAGGTCTTCAAGAACTAAGAAGAGCTCTTCTATTAGTATCTTTGTAAAAGAAGCCCAAGAGATTTTGACTACCTCTTCTGTTATGAAATAACAAAAAAGGCACCAAACAGGAGAATGGGCCCTATAGAACACCAAGTCTCCAAGCATCTGGTCAGTGGTGTCTCCAAAACGGTGAACAATAAATTGTTTTATTTTTTAAAAAATTACTCAGAGTGAGGGCCGTTTGACAGGGCATGCTGAACAGGATAAGATACAACCTTTTACTTAAAGTATGGCTTTGGGATAGTTTTCTGTCCTTACATTACAGCTATTGAAATCAGAATCAAAATATGATACAATTATAATTTAGTAATTCTTAATACTATAAAAAATTATGAGTTTGGAGGTGGTGGCACACACCTTTAATCCCAGCACTCAGGAGGCAGAGGCAAGCAGATCTCTGTGAGTATGAGGCCAGTCTAGTCCACAAGCCAGAGCTGTTACACAGAGAAACCTAGTCTTCAAAAACAAAAAAAGCAAAATACTGACTTATAAATATTAGACATAAATAAAGTGTACCTATATAATTATTCTGTCTTCTACTTTCAGTTTAGTATTCAATAAATTACACTAAATAACTTTTTTATTACAATCATTCACTTATCTACTTGTGTTTGTGTGTCTGTGTGTATACATGTTCATACAGGTGAAACAGTATGACTTGAATGAGTCAATTTTCTCACTCTACCATGTGGGTCTTGGGAACTGAACTCAGGTCATTACACTTGGAAGTCAGTGCCTATATCCACTAAGCCATCTCTTGGCCCTAAGCATATTCATTATAAAACTTCATTATAAAACTGGCAGTGTTAGATGATTTTGCCTAACTGTTGATGAGATGAAGAGAAATGCTCTGAGCAGTTTTGCAGGGTAGGCTAAGCTCCAGTATCTTTATTGTTGGATGAGATGTCCCCTAGTCTCGGGCATGTGAGTAACTGGTCTCCAGGTGGAAAAGCTGTTTGAAACTTTCAGGAAGTGTACCCTTATTGGAGGAAACATGCTCCTGGGGGTGGCCCTGAGAACTTAAGAACTCACATGATTCAAGTTAGCTCTCTAAGCTCCCCGCATGTTGAAGTTCTTAGCTTCCAGCCCTGCTGCCATGCCTCCACTCTGTTACTATGGACTTGACCCTCTGGGACCACAGGCCCAAATAAAACCCAGTCGTGGTGTTTCAACATAGCAATAGAAAAAGTAACTAATACAAATGAATTCATGATTTACAATGACCATGGGTTTGAAAAAGATCAAGGAGTGGTATATGGGAGGGTTTGCAGAGAGGAAAGGGAAGGGGGAAATTATGTCAGTATATTATAATCTCAAAAAATAAAATAATTAAACAGAAAACGCCACTTACATTTTTCATTTTTTTTACTATTTTTATATGTTTTTTTATTTTACATATTGACCCCAGTTCTCCCTCCCTCCCTCCAATGCCTCCCAAACCCTTCTCCCATCCCATTCCCCACCCCCACCCCACAGGGAGGGTGATGCTGGGAAACCAGCATTGTACAGACTCAGACCCAATCCCCCCCACCCCCCACCGACCCAGAATGTGGGCCTCAGCTAGAAGACCTGGGCAGTCCAAGGGACTCCCAACAGTGGAACCAGGATGCATCTCCAGTGCATGAAAGGGACCCATGGGAGCACATTCCCCATGGAGGGACACTCCCCCAGCCTAGAGGCAGGAGAAAGGACCCAGACTCCACTCCAAATGACCTGACAGATTTTACTGTATTTTTAATTATTTTTTTCTTTTATTACATATCAATCCCAGTTCCCTCCCATCCTCTCATGTCCCCCAAATCCCCTCCCTTCTCATTCCTCATCTACTCCCCAAAGAGGGTGAGGCCTTCCAGGAGGGATCATCAAAATCTGTCAAGTCATTTGGGATAGGGCCTAGGCCCTCCCTCCTTTTCATATTTAAAAAAAAATTAAACAGAAAATTTCAACAAAAGCAGTCCTCAGCATAGTGATAGAAAGCTGCAAAAATGATTGTATGCCATTTGACACATGGTAAGAGTCATTTTGGACTTGTTGTCCTGCGTGTTTTAAGAAAGCAGGCTTAGCAAGCCATAGGGAGCAAGCAAGTAAGCAGCACTCCTCTGTGGCTTCTCCATCAGCCCCCGCTTCCAGGTTCCTACTTTGAGTTTCTATCCTAACTTCAGTTACGGGACTGTGATGTGGACCTGCCAGCTGAGACAACTCCCCAAGTTATCTGGGTCATGCTATTTTCTCATAACCCTAGCTAAGAAAAAAAGAAGAAATCACACAAAATCATTTTAGTGGAAAAATTTACATTTTCTGTAATCTTTATAACTTTTTAGTAAAACTATTTTTAAAAACTCTCTAATTGGCCAATTGTAATATAGAAAAATGAAAAAGTAGCATAGCTTAGTATAGAATGTTGTAACTTACAATATTGGAAATATCAGCAGTTAAAGTACTTTCTTACAAAACAAGTTTCAAGAGTTGAATGAGTGATAGTTGTCTCAGTCTTCTTGTGCAACCTTGGAAAACTGTTGTATTCTTTTCTGTATCTGAATCAACTCTCCACGTTTTTAGCTGATCAAGCTCTTTCTCTTGAATGTTATACAAACACTTCTAAGGATATGCGACAGAGACTTAATGTAAAGAATAGAATCATCTCTTTCACATGTTAGAGACTATTTCATTCACTGTTCAGCTGCTAGTCTCTTCTCTCTTCAGCAATAATGAAAAGGATTCACTTTCTAGGGAGTAGGGAGACACATGGTTTGTTGTGTTTGCCAAGGCTGTTGTTGGCATCTTTCATGAGCAGCGAACACAAAAGCTAGATCATACAATGATCACACCAAGTCTTCCCAAGTGCATACCTCCACTCAAAACAAACATCTAGCTTCAAACAAGATGAAGTCAGTTATCTTCCCATTATTCAAATTGCTGAAATGGGTGGCAGCTTCCCACCTTGTATCCCTTACTTCAATGTCATGAAACATCTCTGGTAGGTCCTTAATATGAAGTGTTTTGTCAGGGTCACTTCCTTTGGGACAACTTTTTCATCACAACCTTTTTTCTCAGCAACATTGAAGCATTCACCTCTGCTAAGTTCTTAGAGGTACTTCATCTTCTTGGACAGCAGCAATTGATCTTTAATCAAATTTGTTTGATACTTTTATGTATGTACGTATGATGCATGTATGTATTGCATTCTGGTTACCACCCATTCCCACTGTCTCTTATTTCCTTCCCACCCTTGCCAGCTCCTTTTATTCCCCATAAATCTCTTTCCAGACTTAGGGTTTAGGACTATCCATTAGAGCTGGTGGGCACACAATTAGATATAACACTTTCTCTCCTAGAATCTGTTAGCTGTATATGACCGATGCCAGTAAGTGTAACAGATATGACTTCACAATTGCCATGACCACATCACACTTAGAAAATGTCATTTCACCACCCTTCTCCCTGCCTTCCACCTCTACTCCTATTGTTGACTTGAGAAGAAAAGCATGTCATCTGAAACAATAATTTATACCATGAAGTAAATTGGATCTACTTTCAAATAATGATAACAAGGAGTATTTCACCAAGAATCTGGCTTAGAATTTAGTTTGATCTTTGATAATTTAATATGCTTTCCCTATTACTCTCCAGTTACCAAGTACCTTCCCAAGCCACCTCCTGAGCCCAAAACTGACACTATTAAAAAAGAATGTACAAATTCAAAGATTGGAGTTTTTTCTTCCACTACTTCATACAAATTTACTGGATTCCATAAAACCAAATTAACTATATCCTCCTTTGGGAAAGATAATTTCCATCTTCAAATGATCAACAAGAAAACGGCTGTCAAGAGATACAGCAGAGGGGTTGAGAGATGACTTGGTGGGTAAAGTGCTTCCCACACAAGCGTGAAGACCTGAGTTTGACCCCTGGTAGCATGTGAAGCCTGGACATAGTCATACATGCTTGTGCTAGGAGGCAAAGACAAGAAGACCCCTGGGGCTTGCTGGCCAGACTGTCTAACCAAACTGTTAAGCACCAAGTTCAATGGGGAGCAATAGAAAAGACCCCTGACTTAAACCTCTGGCCTCCATATGCACATGCACACATGTGCACTGTATCTCTACACTTGTGTACACATGCAACAGTGATAAGATATAAATATGCTATGAAACACTAGCATGATACATGGAGATATCTGTTCAAATAAAGACAGCTTTTCTTTTCTATATTTCATACCAGATATTTTTTAAGAAATCAAAAATTTGCTTTCCTTTTCAAGCAGTAATGTAAGATTTCTCAACCATTGTGTATTTTTATTTTAATAAACCAAAAAAATGTTTTGATGAGAAAAATGCTTCCCATGCATCCTTTAAGCAGAAATATACAAATTATCATGTTAAATTCAAGCATTTTCCTGTTTGTAAAGATTTGTTTTTATTTTATGTAAATATATGCCTCCATATATGGATATGCAGTGCACATGCCTCTGGTACTTGAGAAGGCCAGAGGAGAATACCTTAGAACTGGAGTTACAGACACTTGTTAGCCATCATGTAGGTGCTGAAACTTGAACCCCAATCTTCTCCAAGAGCAGCAATACTCTTAACAATTGAGCCATCTCTCCAACCTTCTGCCTCTGGTTTTTAGATAGCTTTTATTGTAACACATAAATATTCTGAGCATCTTTCCTCATCTTTGTCATTTAGTATATTGTATTTCTCATCCTGGCTGCTGAAATTCT